GAACTATTTTCTCACGTTCAAGAACCACTTAGTTCTCATAGAAATGACGAATTTATGGGTTTTTGTCTGCCTTCCTTTAATTTGCTCTTTTTTCTCAATTTAAGTATAATATTACTTATATACCTATTCTTTGATAAAAATCTTATCTTATATACAAAGAAAACCAAGATTTAGAGACCAATAAGTCAAAATAAAGTCCAATAAAGACTGTTAACAAGTAGAAGAAATTGACATTCTCACACCCAGCTTAGAAGATGGATTGATGATGTGGAAGAAGACTTTAAGATTCTAAGGATCAGAAGATGGAGAAAAGTTGCTAGGAATCAACAGGAGTGGTGACTTCTCTGAACAGACACAGATCCACAAAGGATTGTCCCGTCACTTATGACGATGATGATGTCAAAAGAAAGTATCAATCATTTTTAAATTGTGATTAATTCACAAGGAAAATACTTATCTCTGAACTTTATATCTAGAGGTTTAGAAATAAAAAAATTAACATTAGGACATGAGGTCAACATCCTATTTTTATTTTTGATCACCTTGCATTTCGTATCATAAAAATTTAATTATCTGTTTGCACAACAAATAAATGTGTAAATATTTCAATAACAGTTTGGCACTTAAATTATTTAAATAATAGTGTGGTGTTTTTAACATCAACAGTTATTTTTGTTTATATAATTAATCTCCTTTTATAGATTATAAAACTTCCTTAATGATAGATAAAATTAAAAATAGTATGGTTTTACTGATTATTTTTAACTATATAAAAATAAGAAGGCTAGGACAAACTTATTTTTAATAGCCCGTAAGATGCTTTTAGTATTTGAACAATTACATACATTCTTATCTTATCAATTAGATAATCTTGGTACTGTAAGTATGCATCGGGGTAAATAAAAATGCCTTCCATTCCAATTTGTAAAATTACCACGTTAGAAAAAATAACATCATTGAAACTTACATATTTACAAGTATACAGATAGTACGAATAAAACCTATAAGATAAGTAGGACATGTAGAATGAAAGATACAAAAAAATACAAATTAAAATATAAAAATCACCTAAATTTATATGATTGTAGATCATTTTAAATAAACACCTTGTTGGTCCTATAGATAAATACTTATAAAAGGAGAGTTAAAAAATGAATACTTCTAAAACAATATAGAAAGCATATTATGTTCGCATCATAAAAACTGGTACAACTCTTATAACTGAAAATCGTGTTTTTTCAAGTTGTGTAAGTTGATCTTGTCACATATGTCATTATAATTTTTAGGGCAACATTGTCAGTTCAACGAAAATATTGTATCAAATCAGCAAACAGGAGGGCTGTGCGACAGACACAATTTAAAATTACAGTAGATGCATTCCAATGTTCCCTGTGCTAATACCCTACGTTTAAAGATCCTTTAACATTTTGGGCATTAACTTAACCCTCTCTCTGGTTATTAAATTTATTAGATACAGTTTTTTGTTGTTAATAATAATAATAATAATAATATGTTCCTGAGAGTATGCTTGAGAATGACAACTACAAGCTATACTGGGATCACACTGTGCTCACAGACCAAACTGTAGCACATAATAGACCAGATCTCATGCTAGTTAATAAACTAACAAGACAAACAACTCTAATCAATGTGACGGTATCTAACAATAATAATCTGCGTGTTAAGTACAACGCAAAGATCACCAAGTACAGAGATCTGGAAATAAAAATAAGGAGACAATGGAGAATGGAAAGTACCCAGACGATACCTATTATTCTTTCTACCACTGGAGTTATTCCGAAGAACCTACTAGAAAACAAAAAAGCTGGATCTAAATGAGCATCTATATAAGACCATGTAGAAAGCTGTGCTACTTTCGACGTCCAGATGCGTGTGAATATTTTTGAGAGATACACTGACATACCAAGTCACCTAGGACTCAATAACTTGGAAAGAGTCCCACCAAAGCTCAATCCTTTTGATACCGTAGGTATCTGGGATGAGTGAATTTTCCCCTTAGAGGGAGTGTGAGCCATATGGCTAAATCTGGATACCTATATAAAAACTTTTAAACATTTTTGAATGTTCTTTTTTTATTTAGATTTAGCTCAATTCCGTTATTTGTGATGGCAACAACGAATTGATTTGTGAACCATTGTGTCAAGTCTGAACACAAGTTTACATTGCACACAAAAAAGTGTGCCAGTTTTATATGACAGGAACTATACTATGTAGTACAAGTATAAAAAAAAAGTAGTATACAGAATAAAACCACAATCAATATTTACAAGCCTGCTAAATTTGTCTTTCATTTATCTTAAATTGACTAAACTTTAGTAATCTTTTACGTAGGAGAATATTTTAAGGAGTATCAATGAACATGGTATAAAAATAAGCTTCCAGTGATACCATGTTTAGTTTACCTAAAAATAAGTTTAAAAATGATTACAGATAGACCAAAATGTCATTAATATTCACAGATGCAGTTAATTATATGTGTCATTTTAATCGTTTTGGCATTTATCATTATCTCAGCTATAAACGCACTCACATATATCTTATATGAAGACATTCTCTGAAACCATGAGAGCAACCCAGGATTGACACCCATAGACTAGTATAGTAGGAAATCACAACAGTCAGTAATGAAGAAACAAGCAGAGGAAGAGATATCCTATAGAACTGTATGATAGTACATGCCAGCTCAAATTTCCCAATATAGACTGATTGAATATTATTGGAGAGAGCCATGAAGAAGGTTTATAGCCATTTCAACGATACTTTACCAAGTAATAAATAAACCTATCAGAGCTTTAAGTCTGCCTTCTACAAGTTTCAAAACAAAAAAAAAATGATAAATGGACTGACATGGTGAAGCTAAAATTGTGTTCCACATCAAATCAATTAATCTAGTTAAAAACCTTTTGTGAACTGAGTAAATAAAAATACAGAAAAGACAGTTAAGATTTGATTTTAGTGTAGTGCTTCCACTATTGGCTTATACACATTTTGGACTTCTCATAGTGACTATATAGAAGCTCTAAATGTAAAATCTAATATTTTCTGTCAAAAGAAGTAACTAAAAAATAACTACATATAAATGCTATGCTAAAAACAGTTATTTTTTTACTGAAAAGATTTGATTTTACATTTAGAGCTTCTACATAGTTTTTCTGAGAAGTCCTGATAGAATGAAATATGTATAAGCAAATAGTGGAAGCACTATATTAAAATCAAATCTTAACTATCTTTTCTGAAAGGATCTAGGTTATTTTGATTTTTAGATAAGTACCTGAGTTTTTAAGAATATGTTAAGGTGATATGAATGCTGCAGTCAGCGAGATTGGATTTTTAGGATTGCTTTTGGACCCAAAATTAAGTGGGGTCCACATATTAATAACTTATGCAAAAAACTAAATAAAAATCTTTCAAAATATGTCTCACTGGAGACTATATCATATATATGTATCAGTCCATATTCCACTCACATATTTCATACTCTATCCTTGTCTGGGGACACTCACAGAGTATTTGGTCTGCAGAGAAAAGCAGTGAGGGTGCTTGCTGGTTTGGGATTTAGGGACCCTTGCCATCAGGCTTATGAAAGTTGGGAATTTGTACTGTACTAGCACAGTACATTCTAGAAAACCTTTTGATTCATGAAGAGGAATACCAATCTTTTTAGAATTCACGAAGATCAGCATGATAATGATACCAGGCACAAACAGAATATGATACCAGGATATTGGTGTTTCAAAAGGTGTCAAAATAGACCAGGGTATATGGCAATAAAATGTTTTAATGTTCTGCCTGAAAATATAAGAAATTTGACTGAAAACGAATTTGAAAATAAAATTAATATTGATAAAAAATTCCTTTTATTCAATTCGGAAACATTTACAATATAATTTTAACTGATGTTTTGTACAAATTTGATGAGTGTAAGATTTTATATTTTTAACATGAATCAACAGCATTGAATGTTTCCAATATTGGATACAACCCTTGAGTTGTGTGATCAACATAATTCTGAAAGTATGACCAGAGGAAAACAAAAAGAATCAATATGCTTAGAGTTATACTACTATAGACCACTTATAAATAACTTTTTATAACTCTTGAAAAACACCAAATCCTAAACAATTATTTTAGAGGTCTGTCAGAAAAGAATATTTTCTAATCAGCTAGTTAGTAAAAGGTAACCAAAAATTTGGGGACCTAAGAAAATGGACAAACCCCAATTTAGTTACCAAATATTTATTTATTTGATTTTTATTTGATGCCCTTTAGATAAATGAAACCAATGCTGATTAATCAATGCAGGAAGTAAAATTCTTTCATACAAGTAATCTTTGAAACCTATCCGACAGCTATAGCAGAATTAAAAGCTTGTTTGTATGATTACTTTTCATGAATCTCAATACAGGCCAAGAAAGAATACTTATATACAGGTTGCAATTTTTACAAAGTCATAAAATATTAGGTAGCCAATGGAAAGATGAGATATCAAAATTATTAAGAAAGTGAGTTTTGGTGTATATGGCATTATCTAGTATCCTCATCAGTTGCAGTTCACTATACCTAACAGTATAAAATTCATATTACATCTTAACCCAAAATTCTGCAGGTTGTTATGAATGATAAACACTATATCAAGACCTCTATATTCAAATGTACATAAACAACTAGTAATGCTACTTAGTACTAGCAGAAGTTGTTAGTATGCATAAACAAATTTATAGATCACCTATACAGAATGAATGCTAATAAAAGGATCACAGATCTTTGATGCCAGGGCCTTATACTTAATTCTCTTCAAAAAGTAGATTGTAGTCCAAAAAAATGAATAAAATACTTATGGGCTTTTGAATATACGCAACAATTTTAATTTATTTAAACTAGTATCAAACATCACAACCTTTTAAGAATGTCCTAATTTAGAGGCTTACTCTAAATCTAAGTTATAACTAAAATTGAATAAAACGTGTAAAACGACTTACCCCATAGTAGGAAGGGCTCGTCGCTCCGAAGGTATTCTTTGTCCGAGAACAGGAGTAACATGTCCAGACATAGAATTACTACCGAAACTAACACTTGTTCTTCCAAGATTGTTTCCTCCAATGTTTCTTGTAAAGTTCAAATTCGCCATCGCTATCTCTTATGGGGCAGGCCACATTCAAGCATAACGAAAATAGCAAAAAGTTCGTAATAATTCTTTACAAAAAAACCTTGTAAGAAACAACTAGCACAAAAAAGACATAATGGTACTCCTTAACACTACACTCACAGATTGACACTTATAAATGCAAATTAGATGTTAGGATCAACTTCTATACTGTAGACTTATATAAATATTGGTGTTTTTATTATAAAATTGATCTTCCAGCATATAATATTACAGCAAATTGTTTTATAGATGTTATTGTCCTACAACAATAAGCGATAATGAAACCATCTGTCAAACTGTCAAATGTCTTTTTGACAGTTACATTCGTCTTTTCGCTCATGCTGGTGACCACCTTACATTTCAGTCACGATTTGCCACTTGCCAGAAAAAACTTGAATACTCGTATTTGCGGCTAAACAGCTATATTGGCCTAAAAATGAAAATATTAATTTTCAAATATTAGATAATATTTATGAATTATATGTTATTAATTGTAAAGTACGTGTAAATAATAATTGTATAAATTGATGTAATGTAATAATAAGTTTACAACATTAAGCGTATTGTGAGTTGTCTACCATCTAAGAGAATAAAAAATTCTTAAAGTGCGTTATATCAATAAATTACTCCATATCGTCCAGAACGAATATTTTCAGCTAAGATTTTATTTATAAGGTGATGAGATTATTAAATCAGCCAATTTGTATTTTCAAACGCTTTTTGAATATAAATGAAATTTTTTAATAATTTTTCAAATTTCTCCCTTGTTTGAAATATCATCTTCTGTATTATAAATTAGATACGGCTTGTTAAAATATTTTTATTTAGAAACTCAGTGAACTCAGTGAAACAGTATTCTTACTACTGAATCATTGTTTTCTGGATCCATCAAATACCTCTAATTACAATTATCACGGCAAGAAAACACTGGTCATTTATTTATAGAATATTATCTTCTTATTTATAGAATGGTATCCTCTGAACGTGGCGCCATACTTTTATATAAACAGCATATAATTTTAACAAAATTCTGAGTAGCATTTTTATTCGTTAATCCTTCTCAACTTGCTTCATCAAAGTTTCTCTCTCAAGTATCTGAATCATAATGAGTTCATGCGGTTTTATTATTATTTGTTGGTTATTTAGTTATTTAATTTTTCTTAAATATTAAGTATCCCTTGATTTTTATGATTAAAGGTTTTGTTGTGCATATAAATAGTTAATATATTTCCCATTCAAAAAATTGAAAAGTTACAATTTGTTCTTTTATTTAAGACTTTTAAACAAGTATATGATCTTTTAAAATAATTTCGATACAAAGCTATACCCAAACGTCAAAGCATTTACTAATTAGTGGAGATCGTCGGTTAAATCGCAAACTTATCGTGTTTATAAAAGAAAGAAGAAAGTAAATTGGAGTCACTGGGATTCACCAATTAAAAATTATTAGAAATAGTCAGCTGATTTTGCTCTTAGAATAATTACTTTTAATTTTTCATTTTCATTTAATATTTGATTGAATATTTTCAAACATGTTTTATTTTTATTGGTTTTAAGGTTGATCTTCACCCTCGATTAATTTGTTTCTGATCCTAGAGATGGCTCTACTGCGGCATGCTACTGTGGTAATTTTTTTTACTTAATTGTAGATTTCTACATGACGACTCTGTAATATTTTCAAATTCTAACATAAATTGCAGTTTTCTGTTATTATATCAATTGGCTGAGTTGCCAAGTTGTGTAGACAGTAATTTTATCAAATATGCTATAACTTATATGGTTACTAGTAGACCAACTAAGCAAAGATATCTTATAACAACATCTTTATGTATAATACTTTACTGTTCTGCTATGTCAGTCGGAATATAATATACCAAATTCATTCATTATCTAAACAATTTTACCGACAAAGAAATTATGTATGTTGCGGCTTTCTTTATGAGTATAGTGTTACCATTAAATTCGTACATCATATTATATTACATTTTTGTTGATAGTTAAAAATTAAAAAATGATCTGGTATTATGATTATGTAATATTTTAGTGGAAAATGACAAAAATGTTATTTAAATCTGTTTATTATTATCTATTACTATATGTCTTTATGGATTAATAAATTTTACTATGTCTTCTTCTTCGGTTATATTTATATTTCTTATTTCATGTTTCATTGTTCTGGCTTTATTGGTCTGTTTATTCTTATAATTTTTCTTTTAATAATTCTTAGTTTTTCTTCATCTTTTTTCGTAAGACACATTACTTCCGCTCCTTATGCTATCATCGGTCTAATTGCTGCTGTATGTATTTTTGTCTTAGTTTTTTTTTGCTGTTTTTTTTTAAGTAGTGGGTGATATTTCCAAAACACCCCGTTCTTCTCCCGCTTTGTGTGCTTGGTGGTCATACGTTGAATTTATGATTTGGAGTGTTTGATGCGTATTTAGTTATTACGGTTCTATTTGGTCCATTTAGTTCTTCAGTTTCCGTATTCGACAATTTAATAACGCCAAACGAGGACTATGTGAAAGGTGTTATTGCGTATGTGTTTATTGCTTTTACTATGTGCTTGGAATTAAGTTTGATTTTGAGTATTATCCAGATTTAGCCATACGGTTCACACTCCCTCTAAGAGGAAAATTCACTCATCCCAGATACCTACGGTATCAAAAGGATTGAGCTCTGGTGGGACTCTTTCTGTATTATTGAGCCCTAGGTGACTTGGTATGGTGGAGTATCTCCCAAAAATTTTCGTAGACATCTGGACGCCGCGAGGAGTACAGCTTTATGTATGGCCTTATAAAGATGTTCATCTAGACCCAGCTGTTTTATGTTCGCTAGGTGATTTTTGGGAATAACACGAGTAACATGAGTATCCAGATTTAGCCATACGGCTCATACTGCCTTTAAGGGGAAAATTCACTCATCCCAAATACCAACGGTATCAAAAGGATTGAGCTCTGGTATGACTTTTTCCATGTTATCGAGTCCTAGGTGACTTGGTACGTCGGTGTATCTCCTAAAAATTTTCGCACGCATCTGGACGTCGAAAGTAGCACAGCTTTCTGCATAAACTTATATGGATGTTCATTTAGACCCAGCTTTTTTATGTTTTCTAGGAGGTTCTTTGGAATGACTCCAGTGGTAGAAAGAATAATAGGTATCGTCTGGGTACTTTTCATTCTCCATTGTCTTCTTATTTGTATTTCCAGATCTCTGTACTTGGAGATCTTTTCATTGTACTTAACATGCAGATTATTGTTGTTAGGTATCGCCACATCGATTAGAGTTGTTTGTCTTGTTAGTTTATTAACTAGCACGAGATCTGGTCTATTATGTGCTACAGTTTGGTCTATGAGCACAGTGCGATCCCAGTATAGCTTGTAGTTGTTATTCTCAAGCATACTCTCAGGAACGTATTGATAATATGGGAGATGGTTTGTTTTTAGAAATCCCAGTTTAAAAGCTATCTCTTGATGGGGATCTTCCCTACTGAGTCATGCCGTTCCTTATATTCAGTTGAAGCAAATGCCTGGCAGCCTCCGGTAAGATGTTGGATAGTTTCTTGGGCTTGACATCTTGGCATGGCTTGGCATTTGTCGTTTTGGACCTGAGGGTCTTTGACGATATATTTCAGGTAATTTTTGGTTGGTATAACCTGATCCTGAATGGCGAGCAATAAACCTTCTGTTTCAGGAAACATCTTTCCTGATGCCAGCCAATAGTTCGACGCTATATTGTCGACATAGTCTTGACTGACTTCATTCGGATGTTGCCCGTGCAGAGGTTTACCCATCAAGATGCGCATTTTTTCGTTTTTAATAAGATGGTTTATGCGCATTTCTTGTTCCCTCAGGTTGAACGGTGTTGTGTCATCTACTGCGCAAATCGCGCGATGAACAGTAGATGTCTCCGCCTGCAGCTGAAAATAAGTTCTTAAATTAGTAATCTGTTTATCTAATTGCTCGCTTATATCAATAAGTCCTCCCTCGTCCTCCTAAATATCGCGGTCATGTCGTTCTTTCTACTGCACTTCGAGGATGGTGTTTTTGCGCCTTTGTGAGGTGTGTTCGTACTTTTCTCTGAAGAGTTTCTATATCCGTTTTAGTCCATTTAATAATCATCAATGAATAGCTAAACGCGGAAAATGCGTAGGTGTTTAATGCCTTAAACAAATTTTTACTATTAAGATATGAGCGAAGTAGCTGTTTTACTCTAAGATATTTATACATGTCATTTTCGCCCACAGCCTCGATGTTTTGGCAATTTTGCATATCGAACCTTTCCCTTGACTATATTTAGTACACAACATTTGTCTAACCCAAAGTGCATACTGATATTATTTGAAAAATGTTCTATAGTTTTTAGCATTTGATCTAAGTAATTTCGAGTGGAAGCCATGAGTTTCAAATCATCCATATACAACAGATGATTAAGCTTCGCCACTACAGTGTTGTTGTTTTTAATGCTGAAACCTGAGTGAGTGGAGTTCAATAGCTGGGATAGTGGGTTCATCGCTAGACAGAACCACAAGGGACTTAGCGAGTCTCCTTGGAATAGGCCGCGGTTAATTGCGATATTTTCCGTTTCGATATTTTTTTTCACCAGGTACTTGGAGGTGAATTTTAGTCTTCCAACCTGTCATTATATGTCTTAAGAAGGTTACTATATTATCATCGACTTTATATATTCTTAATATATCTACCAGCCATTCATGCGGCACTGAGTCAAAGTCTTTCTCATAGTCAATAAAGGCAGTGAAGAGATTCCTTTTTTTTTGGTGTATGCCTGGTTAGAAATGACTGAGTCGATAATAAGTTGTTCTTTGCAACCCATGGAGCCCTTAGCGCATCCTTTCTGTTGAGGTTCTATGAGTATTATTATTATTATTATTATTATATAATGATATTGAGCCAAAGCAGAGCTTATGTGGCCCAAATTACAAAATATTTGTATGTACTAAACTAAATAATATAATATAAATCAAATTTCCTTACAAAGTAAAAATAAAAATAATTTTTAAAAGAATTAGTACTTACAAAAAGTTCTGGCAATAGCAAATTACAAAAATACAAATATTACCAAGTGTACGTAAGTTTTCAAAAGAAAAAAAATACAACCAATATATTTAACATAAGACTAGGTACAATATTTTGTTCGTTTTCATTAAACTTGTTTTTGAAACTATTTAAACTAGTAGCTTCTACTATGTGTTATGACCTCTTAGTCTACCACCCCCCTCCAAAAATCCCAACTAAGAATTCTATAAGTAGATATGACATCATATCTTTCTCGTCTAAGAGTTAATGGAGACAACTTGAGCTTTCTTAGTCGGGTTTCATAGTCTAATCTTCCATAATTAAAAGGTAGCTAGGTCCCTCTTAGTTGTACTCCTTCTAATAAATTAATGTCTTTTTGCAAATGAGGTGACCAAACTGACACTGCAAATTCTAGGTCAGGTCTGACATAACTTTTGTAGAATTTCAAAAACAAGTCTGCAGATATTCTATGAAAAGCTTTTGTGATAAATAATAAAGCAGAGTTCGCTTTACTAACTACTTTTGGTGTTTGAGTAGACCAACTTATTGTTTGACAAAAAGTCAGAAAATTTAGCATGTAAAGAAGCAATATTAGTCTAAAAAATATTTATTGTTGTCAACTATATTTGTTTTTTTTGCGGAATTTTGTTGGTTAGTACTAATAATAGTTGGAACTTTATTATTATACTTTATTGTTAGTTCCTTGTTAAGTAGATTACGTTTTTCCAGTTCCTCTCGCACTTTATTCAAATAGTTTATTTGATATTTAGTTAAGTCATCCTTAAATTGAATTCTAGAAAATTCGGTTCCTAACAACCTCATATTATTGCGCAACATAAATATTGGACTATCATTATCTGCAAATTTAACCTTTAATGGCCGTTATGCAAGGAACACTATTGTTTATAAATACTAAAATAATTTACTAAAAACGCCTAAATAGGTTTTTAAAACTAAATAAGTTTTTTATAGATATAATACTTATAGAGTGTAAATTTTATGATATCATACTTTCAAAATAAAAGTTGCAGTATTTACTATTCTGTAACTCTGTAAGTTTCAGCATGACCAGTTTAAAATTCAAACCGATAACATTCCTACTAAGTTTTGTTATATTCTGCCAAATTTTTGTACAAACTAATTGATATGGCAACCCTGTCACTATGTCGTTTCGTTTGAAGCGTTTCGAAGCCGAACGTAATGCTATCTATCGATGATAAATACTACCACTGTTTCAGATGGAGCCATCTCCCTATATTACACATTTGAAGGCGGCGGTTCAAGACATAATTCTTGTTTAACGAGATTTTTCATATGTTTAGGAAAAAATATTTAACGTTTTATTGCAAATATTTTCCACTTTTACAGTTTTATATATGTTGTTATTAAAAAAATTTTTGGTTTTTTACCGGAAGCTTTATTATAAGCAGAAACATACTATTTTTTCTTACTGGGACAAAACTGTAAATTCAAAAATTTTTAAAAAAATTCCTAAGTATTTCTTATAATTATATCTTGATGCTGTAAAAAAATTAACAAAATTATATGTCTGGTTTTCCCGCTTTATACTTGGAAAAAAGTAGTTTTTTTGAGTTTTTTTAAAAACGAAAACATGAAGTTTGCTTAAAAGTTGTCAAAACATTTCTAGTCATCTCATACACCTTCTCAAATTTTTTCAAATTTTTTGAATTTGGAATTTATTTTTTGGGGGGTGCAGATCAACCTTAAATCATTATTTTTCAAATCGAGAAAATTTAATCAATCAGTCAAGAGCTTTCACTTTATAGTTAACCTTAAAAATTGACAAATCAAAATTCAAAGTTCCGGTTGACATTAAAAAACAATTTACGAGACTTAAGTAATTATCATTTGTTGCTGTCTGGAAAGTTGGTAAGTATTGCCAATGATTCTTATTTTTAAGTATAATGCAAAACTATTTTTCTAACATTAATATAATTTTAATTTGTAATGCTTGCGCTAATTGTTAAACAAAATATGTTTTATAAAAGTTTCTGTAATGTGACATTAAAATAGTACTTAATTATCTTGGTAACATAATTAAAATAATAAGTTGCCGTAATACTTCGAGTCCATATGGTTGCTAACAGTACTAGTGGTATATTGATAACAGCACTATTATAATAGGAGTATATTCACATAGTAACATATTTCCGAGATAGGTTAAGAAACAGAGTATTACAAATTCCACCTTTTGTGCCATACCAGTTATAGAAAATTATATATAGTAAATAGATGCTATTTTTTATTTGAAAATTTTCTTGGTAGGTGCCATTTCCCCAGAATCGAGCATATAAGGTAATCAATGTTTTTGTAAGTCCATTTCCTCTAATTTGGCATACAAGGTCATCATTATACATTACCCTTTTTGTCTTGTGATTGTATGATGTCTTTGATATGGTACATTTTCCCCCCAATATCTATCTTTTCTTCAATCCCTAACATTGATTACCTGCTAAGTGATATTGTTGGCATTATACATTTATTAATTTGTTTTCAAAACTTGAGACCAGATAGTCTAATACTATAATTAGAAAGTTATAAAGGCCATATTTATTTAATACATTAATACACATATTTTATTACAATTTTGTAGACAGCTTTTATTATTATTTTATTTTATTATTAAGTATTATATTATAATTTTTTATTCTGAAGATTAATTGTGAGTGAGTGAAATAGGTCAGTCTAGTCATCAATGAAGACAAAATCAAGTACATGTTGGTTACTAAGGATCTTATAGTAAATGAGGAATGGGAAACAGTCTTTGGAAGTCATATCTTTAAATGTGTTAACAGCTTCACATACCTTGGCTCGCTGGTGGCTACTACCAACAAAACAAACAAAGAAATTAAAAGACAAATAAAGCTTAAAATGGGACATACTATGGACTCCAAAAGCAATTTCTCTCAAGAAACATCTGAAGAAGAATTAAAATTATTATATTACAAAGCACTGCTGAGGTTGATCCTTACATATGGTGCAGAAGCATGTACCCCCAATATTTGCAGCTATAAACAACCAAGAGCAGTAGCACAAAATCTATAACTTCGATTTATACCAACTCTTTAATGAACTAGACATTCTAACATTCATTAAAACACAGAGACTTAAATGAGCTGGACACATAATATGTGTGTGAGTGCCAGACAATAAGATTGCTAAATAGCTAACCACAGGAGCATCTGTAGTAAGAACAACCAGAGGTTGACTGTGAATTAGGTGGGTAGATGAAGTTGACTTGAAGATATTAAAAATTGGAAGATGTCAACAGATAACCGGAAACTGAAGAGAATGGCGACAAATCTTAGAGCAGACCAGGATAAGTGTTAAATCAGTGGTGCACACAGGGGGAGGTTTTGTGGGTCAAACCCCCCAGGGCACTACTCCGAAGACTTAAAATGCTGAAGGTAGCATATTCTTTTTATTATTTTCCTTATTTCCTATAGCCTTAGTGATGATTTTTCTACATCCTTGTGCCATTTTCCAGCAGGCTTCAATTAATTCGTCAGTGTAGGAGCATCTGCTATGATTTCAACATTATCAGCCATATCACATTTGATCTTGCTTCATCTCTTATATTGCTTAAGTTTGCAAGCTGTGTACTTGTTTTCCGATAACAACCATTTTATATCTTGAAACAATGTCTGTATTTCTAATTGCAGAATGCTGTTGAACTAAGTCAGTTAACAGCTTATATTCGATACATGAAAATTTGTGACTCACTTTTCTTAAATTTTAAACAAAGGTAGGCACTGCTTGTGGTGAGTTTTACCCATGATACAAGGAAACAAGGTATGCTCACTAGGTGGACTCGTTTTTGCACATCGCTGTGCCGACCAAAATCCACCATGCATTGTAAAGTAAAGTTAGTTTTTCGATAATAACGCCAAATTGTGCTGTTAAACAATGTTCCAATTGGTATGGGAATAAAAAAAGTAGAAAAGTATTGGAATATCCAATGTATTGGAATTTAAAAGTAAATTTGTTTTTGTTTTGTCTCGATTTTTTAAAAATTATTTTAGCAAGAGTCTGTTCAGATCATTTTAAATCTGAATTAATTGGATTAATGTATAATATTAATTTTATTTTATTTTATTTAACTATGATTTTTTTTATCCATTTTGTACATATTTGAATTGCCGCCTTCAAAATGGCGGATTTTGGTCGTAAACGCGATTGGCTGTTCAAAATAGATGCGTGTGAGCATACCTTGTTTGCTTATATCATGGTTTTACCACTGAAATCAATTTGGATTCCGTTGAAATTTATCTGTGACTGAACCTGTCCGACAGAGGATCCGAAGTCAGCTGCTATAGGTTTTTGCTGAAATAGACTCCTAGGAAACATTAAATTTTATGCTTTCTACTAAGCAGTTCTGATAAAATTAATAGTGGAACTAATGGCTGTTAAATTATATGCTTTCTATTAAGCATTCCTGATAAAATTAATAATGCAACTAATGGCTGTTAAATTGACATATTTCACAGCGTCATCATCATTACCCAGCTCTTTGAGTCCACTGCTGGACATAGGCCTCCCTCATTGTTGTCCATTGTGCTCTCTCTTGAGCACTGTTCATCCAATTTCTTGACATTTTCTTGAGATCGTCAGTCCAACGAGTAGGGGGTCTTATTCTACTTCTTTTGTCTAACCTTGACCTCTACTCAAGCAATCTCTTCGCCCACCTTTCATCACTGATTCAGACGACGTGTAAATGATTTTATCATTCTAAAAGTCACAATGAATTGATTAACATTTCTACTAACTACAGTTAACTTTTAGTATGTAATGAATGCTAAATTTTCAAATTTTCTATCATATAAATAAATAAAATTACCACTTTTTCTTTTTCTTTAGTTATGTTGTTCTTTTATTTGAAATTATCTTCTGTGTCTAAAAATCAATAGTTTCCACTAATTACATGTAATTTCCACTAATTTTTACCTCTTGTTCAAGCTCTTACTCTTTACTAAATTCAGCATAATTTTTTAATGTACAATCATTACTTCTTAATCACTATTTTCTTTTTAAAACAATATTGTTGTTTTCTGATTTTATTTCCAAATATATCTTTATTCAAATAAACAACAATAAATAACATCCAATAATTAAACCATTGGTACTACTGAACTAACGACACTTGATGTAAAAATTTATTTGAAGTCAAAGAAACTTTTACATCCATTTTCACGAATTTATTGACACAGAAATTGATGAATAAATTCATGAATTTATTGTTGGTGTAAAGCCCACATTCCAAAAAATTTGTACGCCTCTGGAAGACCAGCAATAACCCAGAATTCTCTATCACCATTTCCTGGGATTTATTTTCAACTATTTCGAAACTATTTTATAGTAGGCTGTTTCTTTGAAATATTCTTTCATTTTAAAAACTATGAGAAAGGACCGTCCTTAAAAATTCGTTTATTAAACTTAAGATTACTTAAAAAAATCCCGTGTATATTATTTTATTAATATACCTATAAAGTATATTACAGATGCCGTCCTTGAATTCTATTATCTGTAAAACATGTAATTACAGTACTCAACCTGAAGTGGGTTTTTACGATAATCCGTATATTGATATACAATTCTAATTATATTTCATTTGTTACCAGATCTACTAGACGACAGGAGCAGTGATATTTTTCTAACTTTGTGCTAAATTTTGTGATAAAAATGTCGTTGTCAGGAAGAGCTCTACATTTCGTTTTCAAAATCCCGAACAGGAAAGAATCGATGCGATTTTATTTTCAAGTGTTGGGGATGAAATTGCTAAGACACGAAGAGTTTGCTGAAGGTTGCGAGGCTACTTGTAATGGGTAAGAACCACTTATATGTATATTACAGTATATGTATATGGTATATACACTGCTCAATAATTGATAAAAGGATCTTAATTATTATTTCAATTATTTTAAAAGTTTTTTGACGTAGTATTTTTTCGTTGGTTATAGTTAGAAAATAAATATATATTTTTTGAAATATAAATCTGTTACTCCAGTGAATAAGTGGTTAAGTCAATTTTGCATAGTTTTCAGGAGACGACTTAAAAGTTTTGACAACATGTCATAAATCCATTTTATATGATAGAATACTAAAACTTCACAAAAAAATATGATAGAATACAAACATATTATTGGTCTCATTCTGTAACTACTAAGTTATTATGATAATGAGATATAAAACTTAACCATTTATTCACCGTCGACTTACCCAGTTATTCACCTCAATATATTAATGAAAATAAGCCAATCTATGTATTTTATTTTTTGGTTTAATGACTTAAAACATAAAAAAAAGAATATTTCATATATAAGAAGTTTAAAAACATTTATTCTGAATTAGGTTGTGTATCTTGGTCAGGATCCAATTCCTCCAGGTCAGGATCATTGGCGACATTGTTTTTCGTTTTCAGGTTTTGATAAAATGAAGGATCTATTAAAGGCAATAAAGACAATTAGTCTTTTTTCTTTTCTGTGGCTATCGGTACTGATTCGTTGTTAATAATTAAGTTGAACTTCCTCTGCCAGCAAAATTTATTGTTTTGAAACGATCTTCTTGTCTTAATGAGCATTTAAACGAAATTTGGCCGCCTAATTGAGCATATCGAAGCCATTGGACAGGTTTCCACAAAAACCGTTCGCTATCAATATCAATTTTTTTAATAATGTAAGGCCATATTTCGTCACAAGTGAATTGAAATCAAAGAAATTCTCTTTCAACATATTCACAATTTCAAAGGGATTTTTCTGTTTAGCAATTCTGATTAACTGTGCCCAGTCGTTAAGATGATTTATTTTTAAATTGGTTTTTTTCTTGGACCTTTCAATAACGGAGTGGTCAGTATCATACTCCATACGTGTATGACCACTAACCAAAAATTTGTGATTGATCTTCAGGTTTGATTTTTGATTAAAAAAATTAAGAAACATTAATGCAACGATATTATTTTTATTCTGACCGCCACACGTATCAGAATAAAATGTTACTTCCATGTTTTTCAGAGGACAAGTGTGTTAAAAAATTATGAAGGCATGAGGTGATTTCATTGGCTCCCCTGTCAGATATGGTTTCATCCCACAAGTAGCAAGTTGCTTTGTCGGTTACCATGTTATGCACCGTGAGGTTAAAGCTCCACAGCTGCCTCTTGTAGAAAGAAGCTGAGGTTATAAGGTAAGGGGTAGGCAGGCACTGTTGCAAGTCAAATGCATAAGCTTCTTTCGATTGATTTTCTTTAGCAATTGCCTTGTCTCGAGTTTTCTGCTCATAAGCAAATTGAGCCATATTATAATGTTCGTCTCTTTCTGCTATTAATTGGGTTTTAGTTTCTCTTGACGACAATTTAATTTGTACATGAAAATTGTCACATTGTGTCTTGCTTTGGTTTTTTAAAAGCTTAATTTAAATCAAGAAACATTTTAGTGTAAATAGTTAGACAAACAGAAGATGCTCATCCTTCCTTATACAAATCAAACATTTTCGAAATGGTTAAATTGTGGGTCTCCTAAGTGGGAAATGACAAAATATGGGACTTGACATCTTACAAATCTTTTAAGCTCCATTTACTTGAAGGCGTGGCCATACCTCGTTGATCTTTTTGTATTATACCATTTGCAGAATTGTTCTTTTATTCTATTACTAATTGGACAAAACCTTTTGTTTCACCTAATATTTTTTGGAAACAATCTCTGCATACTTTTACTTTTTGTTTTTCAACTATTAAATGGTAAGAGCAACTGCATGGTCTGTCTTTTTTGGATTAGTAGTATTTTTCTTAGTCTTTTTGTCATTTATTTCTATCAAAGAACCAAGGTCCTTTTGTTTCTAGTTCCTAAATTCCAATAGTTTTCAAAACAAACTTTTTTATCATTTTCTGTTATCCTCTCATTGCATTTTATTCTACATTCTACATTTTAAAGTACTCATTGTTCTTTCAGAAATTATTTTTCCTTTTTTAGTTTTATATGATTTTCGTAAATTTCTCAATTTTTTGCATTCAGTTCTTTGACATCTGGATCTCCCCTTTTTAATATAATTCTTATTATTGGTTCTTACCTGAACAACTTCACTGTTACATAAATTGCTTCCATTATTGTCTTTTTGACACAGATTTGTTTTTTTTTTTCTTCCGCTTAGGGTTGGAGGTTCCTTCTATCAGTTGTTTACTGCTATTTGCTTAATGATATTTAATTCTGTCTCAAAATTGTATTTTGACATCGGAATTTCTGTTAATCTATGTAACATACTATGATAGGCTACCATTTTACAACGAACAAACATTAATAAAATGTTAAATCAAAAACTACACAAGAAAGCCCTGAAATTAGTGTTTCCACCACCAGAGAAAAAAACCAGTACCTTCTGCTCGATTACGTATACAGGCAAAATATCAACAAAAATAGCCAAACACATAAAAAAGAAAGGAATAACTCCAGCTTTCCGAACAAATAACAACCTAGGCAAATATATCAAAAACAACAAGAGCCAAAATAAAAAACACTTACACAGTGGTGTGTACAAACTTAAATGTGGCGACTGCCCAAAAACTTACATCGGTCAAACTGGTAGAAACTTTAATAAACGAATAGCAGAACATAAAAGGGCTTTCAGTAATAGAAAAACAGATTCTACATACACACTTCACCTTCTAGATTACAATCATTCTTTTAATGACGAATTTAAAATTCTTTACATTCAAAATAAAGGCCTTAAGCTATCTTTGTTAGAATCTATGGAAATCAACAAACTAAAAAACACAGATATAATTCTGAATGACTAACTTGAGACAAACAGTTCTCTCCTCCTCAATCTATTTCATTAGAGACTATAAAGTGTAAACGCATGCCAAAAATAGATCACTTGAGTAAGGCAATCAGTCGAAACAGCTGTAGTGATAAGACTTTAAAATAAATTTTGTGGAAGTTTGAAAACAAAGTTTTCAGTGTTTTATTGTTACATAAAATGAATTTCCATCAAGTAACGGTCGAATCCATCAATAATTAAATACTATTTATAAATGTACCGCTTCTTAATAAAATATATAACGAGTCAGCATTCTTGTTGAGACAGAAAAATACAAAATAATTATTAAAAGATCCCGCATCGATAAAAAAAATGGAAATATCTAAATTGTAAACTCATGTTTTGTGTTGTCACTTTAAGTATTTTCATTAAGTAATTTCTTATCAATCGTAGGTATTTTTTTATTATCTGATAAATGTCTTTGTATTCAATAATTGGGTTAGGTATACAGGATGTTTCTTTGAGAAAGTAACAAACATACAGTAACGTATAGTAACATTTGAGTGGTCATTTTGAACAATTACTTTAGTTTTGAAAATAGTTATTTTCCTACAAATTTTCGTTTTTTTTTTTAAATTCTTAACATACTTCGTTGATTAAAGTTATGCATTGTTTGTAGACTCTTTATTATTTATTCATTAATTAAAGATGAATAATTATTATGAATTATTTGTTGAACCTAATAAAAAAACACTGAAATGTTAAAATTTTACAAATTTTAATTAAATAATAGTATGAATTAAAATTAAGTCGTACTTAATTTTTTTTCTACTTCGAGCTCTCGCAACTCACATAATTTCAGAATTCAAATTCAAAATTTTACCAAAAAAAAATCATTTTGCCGAAAATTCAAAGTATACCACACCAAATTAGTTAGAATGTTAGTTAGAATATATATATATATATATATATATAATATATATATATATATATATATATATATATATATGTCAAACTATTATATTAACAGTAAAATACACTTAGTTTTAAGACTACTGCAACACATTAAAATTCATAAGAAAACATTTTAATACAAAATTATATATTCTAAATTTTAAACTTACCTCTTTTAAGGCTTTAATAAGAAAAACGTCCAGCCATTATTTCTTGTTCAAAATAATCTATCTTATATGAAAGCTTATCAGCTTCCTACAGACTATTTATTTGTTTTGGCATATCATAATCACAATACACAACAATAATTACTTTTTAAAGCTATTAATCTAAATTTAAAATGTATTTATAAATACAATTTATTAATATATATTATATTATGATCAAATTGTGTAAGAAATCAAAACATGAACACAATTTCTATTCTAAAAAACCGGCAACACTTTATACACTTTTGCCACCCGCTGAACTGTCAATAATATTTGATGTATTTCTGTATCCGTTGTAAAATTTCCAATATAATGATGATTATATTTTTCTGATTATTACACCATGTTGACGCCTATGAAAGATCGAGCAGTTTCGTATGGGTTTCGTATTATTAGCTGTGTTAGAAAAATTTGAACTATAAGGTTGATGTTCTGGAAATTTTAAATACAAGTAACGTCACTTTGTATAAATCGTGACGTGCAAGTGTTTTACTTTGAAAAATGGTATATATTTGTTTATATTTTTTTAGGCCGTACGATGGTAGATGGAGCAAAACCATGGTCGGTTACGGAGAAGAAGACAACCATTTCGTTATCGAACTAACATACAACTACGGCATAACTAGTTATAAAAAAGGCAACGATTTCGAAAAAATTACAATAAAGAGCAAAGAAGCTTTGGAAAGAGCGAAAGCACAAAATTGGCCAGTTGAGAACGGCAATATATTAGTTGCCCCAGGAGGTTATCGGTTTCAAATTGTAGATGAGCCCCAACCATCCGATAGAGGTAATTATTTAATTTATTTAAATTTATTATAATTATTATTATAATATTAATTCTAACAGGTAATCTTCTTCTTCTAATGGCCCTACAACCCTTTGTGAGTCTTGGCCTGCTTAACAATGTTCTTCCATTCTGCCCTGTCGGATACTTTCCTTCGCCACTGCCTGATGTTCATGGTTTTAAGATCCTTCTCTTCGTCGTATGTCCATCTTTTATGGCCATGGGGCCTTCCTTTTGTTTTGTTTCCTTGAGGCTTCCATCTCTGGACTACTTTTATAGCTCGATTATCTGGCATTCTTTCTAGGTGATCAAGCCAGTTTAGTCTTTGTGACTTTACAACTCTAACAATATTGCGCTCTGCATTAGTTCATCCAGCTCGTGGTTCATTTTAATTCTCCACGAACTGTCGCTGCATTGGGTTGGTTCAAATATCTTCCTTAGTATTTTGCGCTCAAATATTCTCAGTTGATTTTCATCAGTGGTTTAGAGAATCCATGTTTCACATTCATATGTAACCACTGGTCTAATTACTGTTTTGTAGATTCCAAGCTTAGACTCACGATTCAGTAACTTACTTTTCATTAAGTCTTTAAAATAACAAAGGTGCTTTGTTATTTTTTAGATGTTTTATGACGTTTATCGTTTCTTCCAATGTTGGTTGCTCAACTAGTTGTTCTGCTATGAGGTGAATTATTTCTTCATCTTCGTTTTGTTCTTTTTCTGGGTTTAACAGCTCTTGAAAATATTGTTTCCACCTTTTCATTATTTTCTCTTTCTCGCTGATAATTGCCCCATTTTTGTCCTTGCAAACTGTTGTCTTGTCATGTATCCTTGGGTGTATTGTTTGATTTCCTTGTAAAATTTTCTAGTCTCTCTTCTATTATTATAATCTGTAATTTGTTGTATTTTTCTATTCAACATTTCTTTCTTTTTCCTTCTAATTATAATAGTTAATAACTAAAGAAAATTGTGATTTTAGATCCTGTGGACTCTGTCACATTGAATGTTTCAAATTTAAAGAAATCCATTGAATACTGGAACGGCATTTTAGGACTAAAAATCTTTAAAAGTAACGATAAGTCAACAGTACTTGGTTTTAAAGAAAACGAGGCAAAATTAGAAATTCAAGAAATTGGTAAGTGAAGTACAATTAATAGTGAAGTTTAATAGTAAATATAAAAGTAATGGTGAATGGTTTTCTTATATTTTTTGGGTATTTATAAAAATCTGTAATTTTTTTGGAATTAAGAACCACATTACTCTGTAATACCGACTCTAGATATTTAGAACTATTACTTTTTACAATAATTTCACCATTCAAAGATATCATTATTTTTATTAACTACATCTGTGATCATTCAAATTAATTTTTGTCTTTACAAGTTTTAAACCTTTTTTCTCAAGAGCCGGTTTCCACTGTTTCAGTTTTTCTATAGAGCGTTCCACGTTAAGAAAATAACATTGCGGAGATAGGGCCATGTGTTTTTTATGGACGATAGAAGCGCGGCGATGCCACGACCCACACAAGCACGATTCAGGGTTGTATTATTTGTATTTTCCACAGACATGAAGTAAAATTAATGTTTTTTAACGTATTGACAAAAAGTGCCCACTCGAAACAAGAGATGAAAAGTAGGGAAAATGATTTTAATTATCTAAATAGTATTTACAAAAGATGATTTTATTTTATATTATTTTAATTATAGTAACGACAGTTTATTTGCATAATGCATATATCCAATTACTAACTACAACTTAAAATAATACGGTGTGTGTATGTCAACGATTTTCTGTCGTTCTCGGACCACATAATGATAATAAGGCTTTATGGTTCTTTAGTAGTTATTCTGACTTTACAGTTAAATGTTAATTGAAAATGGAAATTCAAAAATTAAACCAAGGGAATATCTTGGACATCCGTGCCAAACAAATTCTTCTAAATGTATTTAATTATTATCTAAATTTAAGAAGGGAAGAAAGTCTTTAACATATAAAGTAAGTGCTACGACGGGAATAAGTTTTAGTACTATTTCTGAAATACGCAAAGAAGCTGGGGAAGGAGGATAAAAGGGGGCCCATAAAAAAATAAGAAAACGTACCAAAAGTAGAGTCAAGAATAGAAAGTTCATTTACGATGCAGTAGTTCTTACGCGGCTACGTACCATCGTGCATAGTTTGTTCTTTAAAAATTTACCGCCGACATTGAACAAAGTTTTTGCACTGGTTAAAAAAGACAAAGATTTAGAAAACATGTCACGCATAACAATGTGGAGAATACTCCATGAAATGAACTTTGCTTTTTGCAAACGAGGAGTAAAGTCAAGCATGATTGAACGGCCCGATATTCTAAAATGGAGGCATCAGTATTTGCGTGAGATAAAAAAAATTTCGTTCTCAAGGATACACCGTCGTTTATTTGGGTGAATGTGAATGTGGGTGAATATAACTTGGGTGAATGTTGGACATAGTGTTTCCAAAGAATGGAAGGATCTCTCAGTGATTTCAACCAGGGATTAGTTTGTTAAGGGGTTGTCAACAGCCGACACAACGAGGCCACCGATTTGTTATATTGCATTCGGGTAGCGAATTGGGCTTTGTAGAAGGAGCTGCTTTTTGGTTTTTTACTTAAAAAAAGACTCAGCGGACTACCATGATGAGATGGATAGTCCTATATTTGAATACTGGTTTAAGGAAAAGCTGCTTCCTAATCTTCTGGAGAAAACTGTTGTGTTCATAGACAACGCATCGTACCATTCGAGGAGAGAAGAAGTGATTCCGACACAAGCCTTCAATAAAGATCAATTTAAGACATGGTTTCTGGAGAAAGATATCTTTTTTGAAGAAGATTATTTAAAATCAGAGCTCATGGAAGGCGTAAACACATACAAAGAAACATGCATAATATATTCTTCTGAAGCTATTTTCTTGTGGCGTTTAAAAGTAATTACTATTTAAATGGGAATAAGCCACAATTAAAGGTTAAAGTACGTTTATTGACGTTTCAATTTCCGAAGTGGAAACTTACCTTTACTACATTCATACCATTGTGAGTTAAATCCAATTGAAATGGTATGGAGTCAAATCAAAAGACATTTATTGCCTCACACAACACAGATTTTAAGACCGCCACTATGGAACAATTAATAAGAAATGCATTTGGTGTAGTGGAAAACTGAGGAAACTATTGTAAACTTACTATTGTTATTTTCTTAACTTGAAACAAAGTATAACTTATTTTAGTATTTCCTACTAACAGTACATCATCAGCGTATATTAAGAAGCATGGAATGTTATCTTTTAGTTTCGCTATTATCTCTCCAACACCTGTTCTAACACTAGTTATTACTTTCTCATACATGTATAGCACAATCTTCACATATTCATCGAAAACTCCTTTCTTATTGAGTGCCCACTACAGAATCTCCTGTGGTGGGACGGGAGTTTCCATCAGCATAAAATATATAGTTATGGTTATTTGATTATCCTATATCTTCGTAAATCAGCACACCAGAAGCCTTAAGAGCTTTACGTTCGCTAGCTTTAACCTGTTCAGCAATACGATCAAGATGATTTTCCTACTACCACCAGCAGATTTTTTAATTAAATTTACGATTTCTAAATTTTGGAGAGCTTTACGGGCTATGCTTCCTGCTGATCTGCAGAAATTGGAGGGTTTAGTACCATTATATTTGCCGGAACCAAAGATTTTTGTAACTAATCCTACGCCTACAGGAGATCTGATGTAAATGTACCTAGCAATAGCAACACACCTGTCGCAGATCAACCCATTCTGGAACTTATAGTTTTCCACTGTTTCTCAAAAAGGAGGCGAGCCTTAACAAATTTATGCTAATCAACGTCGTTTAAGGTTACAGACTGCATTTTCGGCAGCTGCCAAACGTCAAATATGTATATCTCCCTTGTTTTTGTAAAGAGGTGCTAGTATGAAATGACACTTGAGATTTTTATTGTCAATTTTATTGTTAAGGTTACGACTAGCTCCACTCAAGTATAGGTTGGTCTTATTTTAATGCAAATTGTACAATGAGAAATTTGGAAGGAAAAAATAAAACAGTAGGGTAAATAATCATATTTATTAAAAATAAATAACCAAAATTAAAAAGCAACAGCAATAATTGCCTGTGTGCTTTACAAATAAAATCAATGAAAAAATGTACTTGTATCTTCTTCCTATGGTGCCCTATCCAATTAGTGGATGTTGGCAACAATTCTGACATACTCCTCTCGATCTTGTGTGGTTCTAAAAAATGCATGGGTATCGAGGTTTATCCAATCCCTTATGTTTTTAAGCCATGAGTATTTCTCTCTTCCGATGCTCCGTTTTCCTTCTATCTTCCTTTCCATAATAAGCTTTAAGAATTGGTACTTGGAATTTCGAAATATATAATCCAGATAAGCAGTTTTTCTTCTTTTTATTATTGGCAGCAATTGTCGTTCTCTGCCCATTTGATTTAATACTTCGACATTTGTTGTTTGATCTGTCCAGGGCATTTTAAATAGTCTCCTAAATGCCCACATTTCAAAGGCCTCCAATCGGTTCATCACATTGGCCTTTATGGTCCAGGTTTCTACACCATATAGCAGGATGACGTAAATGTAACATTTTACAAAGCAATAGCGAAACGTTAAGGCTGCTGTTGCTTAGTAAGGTTCTCATATTAGTAAATACTATTCTGGCTTGCTCAATCCTGCTACGTATCTCTATGTCTGGATCTAGATCTTCAGTTATCCAACTACCAAGATATCTGAAATTGCATATTTCTAGTTCTACTAACCACGATTACCTTCGTCTTGTCTATATTAATCTTCAAGCCCAGTCGTTCTCCTTCAGTGTTTATTCTATCTATGAGTCATTGTAGCGCTTCTTGGCTATCAGCTATTATGACTGTACTGCCTGACTGACTGACTCACTTGACTATCGGACGCCATCTTGAAAACCCGTATAATATTGAAGATCTGTGTCCAATCTTCTTGCCACCGTTTATATATATTTTTTAGTTAATAAGAGATTATTTTAGAGAATATAATAGAAGAGAATATTAGATAATTAGATATTAATAAGAGATGCTCTATGTGTAAGAAATGAAGCCATATATCGAGCAATGAGTTTTACGACACTCTAATTTTATTTTGTCAAATACTGTATGATACAAGGTATTTAGTAATATCGTAATTTTTGTTTTAGGTCAAGCAATTGATCGGGGAGAAGCATTCGGTCGTATTGCTTTTTCGATTCCACATGCAGAACAAGAACCTCTCTCCACGAAAATTAATGAAAACAAGTGCACGGTTCTAACACCTCTTACAGTTCTACCAACTCCTGGTAAAGCCGATGTTCGTGTTTTAATTTTAGCTGACCCTGACGGCCATGAAATATGCTTTGTCGATGACGAAGGTTACAGGCAACTTTCACAGCCAGATTATGGCAGTGAAAGAGTACTTAATGTTCAGATGAGGAAAGATACTTATGATACATCAAGCTAAAGCTGTTATAACCAGTAATACATTCGCAAGATATCTCTATATTCTATATATTTTACTCATGTTAAAAGATATTTCAATATACATTTTATTATGTTAGAGCTTTGTTTTACTTTCCTGTTGCCTACAAACTGCACTTTATGTGATTGAATTATCAAAGGATCTAAATAACTAGTATTAACCAATACATAGTATTCATAGATTTTTTGATAGCATAGACTTTCATCGTTTATCGTTCAGCCATTTTCAATAGACTCTTTATTTAATTAAATACAAATAGTAATGGATAATTAATTAATAGATGAAAATACTCAAAGGAATATAGGTACAAGGTCAATAGCTTTTAGTACCCACCAAGACATTTTAACAGACAGACAATACGGGACCATAGATAAGGTATTGTCATATTTAGGATAAATAGAACACTTAGAGGAATGAAAAATAATAGATCACCAGGGAGAGATGGTATTACATTTGAAATTATTAAAAACGGTGAAAACTTAAAAGAAGTTTTCCATATCTTAATGAACATAATAGTTATTGAAACCGTAAGATAACAGCCGCCTTTATTACAGGATCCTTTAATAAAGGACAAAATACTTCATGTCTAAAAGAGAGTTATTACTAACATAATAAGGAAATCTTTGATTTTGACAAATGACATTAAATATTTTTGCATATGAAAATAACCTATAAATGCCTATAAGATCCTAATTGTTACTTATATACCTAATCCTAGATTAAAAGTTTGGATCATTGAAAGGAGTAAAACGTTGAATTTAATTAAATTGTTGTTTTAAGAATACTACAATCCATAATACGCATCTTACAATATGAGAGAATCATTAGATATAGCTAGTTTACTGGCGCAAATGATGAAAAAATACAGTTGTTAAATATGAATGTTATATAACCTAAAACAATAATTATGAAGATTTACTAATTGAGAATAATAATAATAGTAAAAACAATATTCATTAAATACTACAGAACATACAACAAATTTGATCAAGTATCCATATAAATATATGTAGGTGAAGTTACACGTCTTTCTCCCTTCTCGTAATTTGAGAGGTTACGTCAAAATAAGGGATCTTTAAATAAAAGTGCTCTTTTTTTCTTCATTGTTGCGTTGGTTTTTTTCTTTGGTTTGGTGTTGCTTCTTTTGTTGAGGTTTTGTCATCCTGTTTTAGGCTTTTGCCTCTTCAGGATGTGGTTTTTGTCTTTTTGGTGTTGGCTTCTGGTTTTTCTTTCTTCGATGATCCACTGGTGGGGTTCGGCCCGGACAATCAGTGGAGAAAGGCTGTGGTCGGTTCTTTTCAGAATTGATTTCTAAAATAATTAGTGAATTAGTGTTTGTTAAATTAATATATGTACAAAAATGAGTATAACATATTAATGCATGTATAAATACATGCATTAATATGTTATAATTAGTAAATGTGTTATGACGCGGCGCGAGAGGGCAGCTGCGGCTGTATCCTCAAAATAGACAGGTATCATTTGCAAGTGAGATCGGGAAACCGCAGAAAGTGCTCTGCTCTGTATTTAACTTATATATAGAGGCGTCCTATATTTTATTAAGGGACGCAAAACTGGGCATGCGTATATGTCAAAATAAAGGTGCTTTTATTACAGGACGACATTAAACAACTCTTCAGTAACTCTCTAATAGTAACACAAGTAACATACCCAGTATGTAGAATGAAGCAATCACGATATTATTGTGTAAAAAAGGAGACAAACAAAAATTATGGACCGATTACTCTACTTCATGTCACTATAAACTGCTAACTAAAATAAAAACCAACAGATGAACTTGATTTGATAGCTACCAAATCAAAGATCAAGCAGTGTTAAGAAAAGGCTACAGTAAATGTTATCATCTCTTTACAATGAAGGTACTAATTGAGAAATACATTAATATCTAATACTCTTATATATAGCATTTATAGATTTTGAAATGGTACTCGACTGCATCGAGCACTGGGCATTAACATAGTCAGTACAAAGTAGTAGAATAGACTAAAGGTATAAGAATCAATATTCAATGTATAGAATAATGACACAACAACGATCCAACTTACAGAAATACACATACCATAGACATATCTATACAAAGAGTTGTTAGAGATGGATATACGATTTCGCCAAAGCTCTTTAACCAAGCAATAGAAGAAACTACAATGGAATATGGAATTAACATTAACGGATAATACTTAAATCACCCAAGATATGCAGACCATATTGCCCTTATACCGACAGACAAAAAACAAGCGAATGGTACAACAATTAAACCAAGAAGTTAAAGAAAAGTTAAATTCAATATGAATTACGATAAAACAAAGTCATGACAAATCAAGAAGAAGAGTTAAAAATTCTAGTCCTCTCTTCAGTCTTGTCTCTCTGGAGGGAGTTAAGTGGTCGTCATGATATCGTGTATGGTCAGTCTCCATAGACTAATGTGTTTGGTCATTTCTGTTACATCATGCATAGGTCTTTTGCAACTTCCTGTGATCTGATCAATCTATCTCGGTGAAGTACTTCGCCGTCGTCTTTGGCCTTCTACCTTCTCTTGAATGATGAGTCTCTCTATATAGTCTACAGAGAAAATTAATAGATGGAGTGAATACATAAGAGAATTATTTGAGGACAACAGAAATAACATTGTTCTGATATATGGCGAAACGGGACCTGAAATTCTAAAATGTGAAGTAGAAATGGCACTTAAAAATTCCAAAACTGGGAAGGCAAATGGACCGGATGAGGTTCCTACCGAATTGCTAAAGCTCTTGAATGATGAATCAATAGGTATAATATTGCACTTATTTAATACAATATACAATACTGGCATTATACCTCAAGAGTGGCTGTTGTCTACATTCGTTACACTGCCAAAAAATCTAATGCTAAAGAATATTCAGAACATCGAACAATATCTTTAATGAGCCACCTACTAAAGATATTTCTAAAAATCATCCACAACCGAGTTTATCAAAAGTTGGAGTCAGATATTAGTAATACACAGATGGGGTTCAGAAAAGGGCTTGGTGCTCGAGAAGCTCTCTTCGGTTTGAATGTTCTCACACAAAGATGCCTAGACGTTAATCAGGAGGTACATACGTGTTTTATCGATTTTGAAAAAGCATTTGACAGAGTACGCCATGATAAGCTTAGAGAGATTCTTGAAAGGAAGGACATAGATAATAAGATCTGCGGATAATTCTCAATCTATATTGGAATCAGAAAGCTAACATCAAAATAGAAACTGAAACCCCACAAGCAATAGAAATACGTAGAGGAGTACGACAGGGTTGCATTTTGTCACCTCTGTTATTTAATGTATATAGTGAAAGCATCTGTCAGGAAGCCCTTTTACAAGCAAACGGAGGAATCGTAATTAATGGAGAGATTGTAAATAATATTCGATACGCGGACGACACTGTACTAGTTGCAAGAACAGTAGAAGAATTACAAAGATTACTTACAGACATAAATATTTCTTGCAACAATTATGGTATAAATATTAATATTAAAAAAACCAAGTATATGGTCTTCAGTAAAAACATGACACAACCAGCGTATATTAGTATAAACGGCACTCAAGTCGAAAAAGTATCAAGTTACAAATACTTGGAAACTTTAATAAACGAAACTGGAGACCAAAACAGTGAAATAAAAAGACGTATCGAAATTGCCAGGGCCACCTTCATAAAGATGAGAAAATTCTTCTGCAACAGAAATATAAGCATACCTTTGCGATTAAGAATGCTGAGAGGCTATGTATTTTAACACGCTATTACACGGTGTAGAGGCCTGGACTCTCAAACAGAACAACATGAAAAATATTGAAAGTTTCGAGATGTGGTGCTACCGTCGAATGCTGAAGATTAGTTGGGTTGAAAGAATAACAAACTGTGAAGTAATACGAAGAATAGGAAAAGACCCAGAGATGTTGTTAACGCTAAAGCGAAGAAAACTCGAATATTTTGGTCACCTGATGAGAGGACATAAATACGCATTACTTCAAAATATAATGCAGGGAAAGATAGAAGGAAAACGGAATCCAGGCCGTAGAAGAATGTCATGGTTGCGGAATTTGAGAGAGTGGTTTGGCTGCACCACTAATGAACTCTTTAGGTCAGCCGTAAACTAGGTCAGAATAGCCTTGACGATTTCCAATCTCCGATAGGAGTGGCACAAAAAGAAGAAGATATAGTCTACGACCGACATCTCATAACATGTCCAAAATATTTTAATTGTTGTAGTTTAATTTTGCCCGATAGTCTGTTACATATCTTTAGTTCTTTTACAATAGAATTATCTATTCTACGGTCGGACCGTAGAATTAGCAATATTTCTTCTGCTGTAGAATATTTCAGTGACGCCAATATTTGAAATAATACCAATACAGTTAACCAATCTCATTTTTAGGATTTTTGAAATATTAGTCTTTGCATGTTTTTGACATATTCTCCATAGCGATCTTGCCTAGATCACATATAACGTTTTATCTCCTCGTGGTGCGTCCCTGTGTTTGTATTAAATGATCTCAGATACAAGAATGATTTTATAATATAAAACCGATCAATGTTGGTTATATGTGGATGACTGTTGTGTTGCCTATCACTATCATGATTTTTGTCTTTAACTATATTTTTAATGAAATCAATCAGGTCTTCTTGGCTGTTGGCAAGGGCTGCATCGTATGCAAAGCGCATATTGTTTATATTTCGGCCATTCATTGAGATATATTTTTCCTACTCTTCTCCTCTTAATATGTTCTCCGTAGATAATGAACAGTTCTGAAAATAGTACATATTTGCCTGACACCTTGTTCTGGGTGTCAACCATAATTTATTATATATTATACAGATATTAAAAGAAGGGTGGCCCCCCAGAAGGCTTTACGTTTATTCAACTTTTTTTCATGCATAATATGAGTTTTTTTGTTTTTTTTTTCTCTCAGTTTTGTACACACATTATTGGATTCTGCGAAGTTCGCAGGATCGGCGAAATTCTCTTGACTTCCTGACATGTGTCTAATATACCAATGGTGTTCTCCCTTACCTCCATATTTTTCAAACCTGACCTGATTT